TGAGGGGCCGGGAGAGCGCAGCTCCGGGAGGTTCCTAGGGCCTCCCCTGGGAGCCAGCCGCCTCGCCTGTAAGGTGGGCAGGCCCGGCCCTGGCACCGGGCCCTTATCTGGGCCAGGGCCTGTGCCTGGTGCTTGAGTCGAGGTACATGCATTCTCCTACTGAGGACTCACACCCCCAAGGAGCTACACAGTGTCACTACCGTGGGAAACCAGGCACGGGGAGCTGCCGAGAAAACCCACATTCTTAATCCCTCAGAGCGCTGAAGACACCGGAACGTGTTGAATGTTGAGCCTGTGTTGGGTGCTGGTCTCAGTACCTTGCCTACTGTATTCATTCACATCTCAAAACCACTCTCTGAGGTAGGCACCTTTTGAAGATGAAGACCCTGAGGCACAGAGAGGTTAAGCAGCTTGCCTGAAGTCACACAGCCAGTAAGTTGGCAAGGCCGGAGCTTGAACCCAAGGAGCTGATAGGCTGACCTTCCATCAGGATTGGTGCCAACGTCACACAGCTGAATAAGATCATGACACCCATGCACAGATTCAAAGAGTAGCTAAGAAAAGTGTATACAGCAGTCCTAGGGCTGCTGTAACTAAGTACCACAAACTGGGTGCCTTCAAGTGACAGGAATGTATTGTCCCACGGCTCTGGAGGCCAGAAGTCTGAGATCCAGGTGTTGGCGGGTTGGTTCGTTCTGAGGGAGAACCCGTTCCCTGCCGCTCTCGGAGCTGGTGGGGAGCTGGGCGCTCCGGGCTCTACCCGTCTCCACGGATGTTCTCCCGGTGTGGGTCTCTGTGTCCACGTTTTCTCTTATAAGGACACCATTCATTGCATGAGGGGCCCACCCGACTCCAGCATGACCTCATCTTGAGAGCATCGGCCTAGGACCCTGTTTCCCGATGAGGTCACATTCACGGGCACCGGGGCTTGGGACTTAAACACGTCAACCCACAACAAAAGAGAAGAGGAAACATCTGTCCAGAGCCACTGAAGGACGTAGAGCAGGACGCTGGCCTGTGTGGCTGTCACAGTGGGCAGGGCCGTGCTGGAGCGAGGAATACCTCTTGGTCAGGCATTCGTGACGAATCTGTCCTCTCTGGTCCCGCAGGTGGTTTTAACAAAAACATCTCTGTTGCCCAATTGTCGAGAAATTCTTTGGAGATGCAAAGGTCTTGTGAATGTGTGCTTTTTGACGTTGCAGTCCTCGTTTAAAGAAAAAGTTCCTGATCCAAGTTCTTCAGGTTTTCAGGGAAAAACAACAACAACAAAAAAAAGTACCGTTGAGGTTTCCAGAAGGTTTTCTTTGTTTATCTGTAGCACCTGCCCAGGGAGGCATTGCAGGGCCTCAGAGAGTTTGGAAGGAGGGGAGGATGAGGTTTGGCTGTGTGTGTGTGTGTGTGTGTGTGTGTGTGTGTGAGAGAGAGAGAGAGAGAGAGAGAGAGAGAGAAAGAGAGAGACACGGATGTACGTGTAGACACCTACTGAGAACCGTGGGGACAGGTGGACATGTAGGTGGGAGAGACCCACACAGGGGCCCAGGGGTAAAGGCAGATTTTCCCAGATATCCACACGGCTCCTTCCCATCCCCTCCGTCACCTCCCTGGGTCTGGGATCACATGTCACCTGGCCCCCTATCTAAAATTGCAACAGTGACCCTGCTGCCCCTCCTCCTCATGTCGCTTCTCAGTAGGTGCTTGTTGGATGTATGAACCCAGAGAGATGCGCACACAGGGGCCTGCGCTACGAACAGAGGGTGTCTGGGTTGTGGGATGAGCACAACCCCTTCTGGGCGGAGGGGCCTGGGCAAAGCCCTGGGGCAGGTGGTGGCAGATTCAGGGCCTTCTGTGTCACCCTCTGGCCCCCAGCTGCCTCTTGCCATCCTCCTAGCTGAACGGCGGGGTAAACCCCACTGTGAGGCACAAGTCCTCTGGTCCCCTGGGTGCTGCCTGGGAGGGTGTGGCATGCCCTGCAGCTTCCGGCAGGGCCACCCAGACCAGTGAAAGGGTCAGCGAATGTGAGGGTGCCCTGTCCTGAGCAGGGTCTCTCTGGGGGCCTGGGCTGGGGGCTCAGGGACCAGGAGAAACCAGTCTGTCTGGTTCAAATGGAGGAGTGGACCTTCCTTGTTCTAGGGCAGAAGCCAAGGCGCCGCCTGGGCACCGAGCCAGCAGCGCTGCCAGAAGGAGCACTAGAAATTCCCACCGCTTATCCACCGGCTTCATCTGGAGGCCGCGGTTGCTGATCTGGAAACCAGGGTGGGGCTGGAGTGCGGGGCAGGGACAGCCACGGCGGGGGAGAGCCTGGGTGCCTGCCCAGCCTGGCCCTCGGAGCCAGCCGACGTGCCTTGTTTTTACACACCACTGCGTAACTCGTGGTAGGGTCCCGGGAAGGACGATCTGGCTTCCAGTCCTGCCCTGCCCTTTACCCCCGGTGACCGCGGGCACCTCTCCTTCTGAGCTTCTGTTGGGAAATGGGCAGAAGGAATAGTCCCGACCTATGGGGGTCTGGCGAAGGCGGGATCCGGGACTCACGCCTGGCGCCCGGTGGGAGGCGTCAGGTGGTTATCGTGACCGAGGCTGTGAGTAATAGTACAGGTGATTGACGGGTGTACGTTGGCGTAAAGCCGAATTGGTCTTTCCTTGATTTTCGGTTCACTGCATTTTCCAGCGTCCTTTCGGACAGTTGGAACCGGGCTACATGGTGGCCGTGGGGGTCTGTAAGGAATTTGCTTTAAACGAAAAAATAGAATTGGCCTTGATATGTCCAGTTGTCACCTGGCGAAGGTGCCAGTCGTGCCGCTTCCAGAGTGTTTGTTCCCCTGCAGAACGCTGGCCACACCCAGCTCTGGGGCCCGTGGCCTCCCTGGTGTGTCTGATTCCGGGTGTGGGGATGTGTCCTGAAACATCCTGCCCTGGACCCCTCACGCAAGCGCTCTGTCCCCAGCTTGGCATATGCCTGCAGGCGAGGTCCAGCCACTGTCCCCACGTCCTCACCTGCTCTGCCCTCACCCAGCCTGCTGGCGGAGGTTGGCAGAGAGCACAGATGGGCAGCGGAGGCTGGCAGGGTGCTGTGTGGGGCGGGACCCCTGGGAACTAGCCCTGGAGAGGAGGACCCTTCCCTGGGCCTACCACCTGGGCCGGAGCGCCGCTTCCTTAGGCAGGAGGAGGCAAGGCCAGGAGCGGGTCACAGGTTGACACCTGCTTCCCCTTTTCATACCTAGCAACTGTGCAGGGCACGTTTCTGACCCTACGCCACAGCTGAAGAAGTGGGATCACGCGTGCTTGAGCACGTATTTATGGAGCACGTACTACGTGCCAGGCACTGCAGATCCAGCAAGAGGCAAAGCACAGAATTCCTCGTGGGGCCTGCGTTCTAGTGCATGGACTTCGCTAGAGTCGCCCAGTGGAGCCCCACAGAGACGGGAAGGTGCTCACCCGCCCAGCCCTTGACTCCCAAGCCCAGGGTCCCACCTACCACTTCCCCAGTGGGCCGCGCCCTTCCCGAGTCTGAGCTCCGGGAAGGGGCGGGGAGAGGCAGCAGAGCTGTCAGAGGGCTGCAGGCCGTTCCTGTCCCGGCTGCAGGGCAGTGCGTAGGGGACCCGTGCAGAAACTTCCCTTCTGGCCCTTGGGGGTGCTGCTTCGGGGTGGGGGTGCCTGGCAGGTCCCTGGTTCTGGCTGTGCTCTGGGGCCTTTGCAGCAGCTTTGCAGCTGGTTCGAGCGGCCTGGGGGACTTTCTGTCTCCAAAGACCAGCAGCAGAGGTGGGGCTTGTTCCTGGGCTGCTTCTCTGCGATCCCACTGACTTGTCCTTGAGCTGGTGGCACGGTCACTGTGCAGCCTTGGTGCCACATGCCTGGATGCTGGCCAGGGGAAGAAGAGGGACGCCTCCATGCGTCTTGATCAGTACTGGAGCCTTTCTCCGAAGCCCCAGGGTAGATCCTGCTGTCCCCTCAGTGGCCAGGGACTCCAGGGAATTTCCTCATGGAGAAGGGAGGACCCGAAACTCTAGAGGACTCAGCCAGCAAGGAAGAGGACAGGAAGGCTAGAGAGGCCCAGGACAGCCACATGAGGGGTGCCACTTTGGGGCCTCCCTGAGTCCCAGCCCTGCCTCAGAGCAGACCCTTTGCTGGGCCACACCCTGCCGAGCTCCTTCAGATGGCCCCACGAGGTGAGGCGAGTCAGCCAACCTGTTCGTGTAGACTTCCCTGGGGCCACGAGGGCCGGCGCTTGTGCAGTCTGGCCGGGACTTAGCCTCTTCTGGAATATCAAAAACAAAAGCGGACACTTCTGTTGTGCCCATTGCTGTACGTGACCTCATGGGTCCTTAAAGTAGCTCCACTCTGCTGGGATGCCAGGGCCCATCCTGCCACGTGGGAGTGGTGTGACACAGGTCCCTTGACTTCTTTGAGGCCCGGTTTCACCTGTAAGATGGTAACATCTATAGAGCAGGGCAGTTGGAAGAGCCAGAGATGTGGGGTAGGAGAGGCAGAGGGCAGGGTGTCAGGCGGGAGGTCACCCATCGGCCCTTGCGACATTCTCTGCTGGGCCTAGGTGGGAGGAGGACTCATTGATTTCCCACCTCTGGGACTGTGACCAGCCCTCAAGGATGCGATAGTGACTTGATCTTCCTTCCAGCAGCTTTTACGGGGCCCCTGGCAGGGCCCAGGTCCTGTACTGGGTGTCGGGGGCAGCGGTGAGACAGATGGCTGCTGCCCTGCCCTTGGAGAGCTCACGGTCTGGGGAAGGAAACAGAATGACAGTCCTGGGTGGTGGGAGCCTGGGAGGCCGCGTGAGCACAGAAGAGGGTTCTGGAACACAGACTGGAGGAGTGGGGACAGTGTCCTGGAGCACCTGACATCTCAGCTGAGATGAAAGAGGAGTTACCAAGAGTTACCAAGCCAGGTCCCCAGCACAGGGGTATACAGCAGGGGCCAAATCAGCATTTCTTGGCTAAATGAGAAACGAGGCCAAGGCTCTGGCAGACTCCGCCCTGTCTCGCCCCCAGGTGCTGGGGCTGCTGGTGTGGGCCCTGATCGCCAGCACCCCGTACCACCTGTACCCGGCCTACAGCTGGGTGATGTTCGTCGGTGTCTTCCTCTGGCTGGTGACAATCATCTTCTTCGTCCTCTACCTGTTTCAGCTGCACATGAAGCTGTACATGGTGCCCTGGCCGCTAGTGGTGAGTCTGGGTGGAGACAAGGGGGGTGGCTCAGGCTGACCCCCGAGAGTGGCCGTCCCTAATGAGAAGTGGCGAGGTGGGGGTGGGGTGGCTGGCGTCCTCCCTGACCATTCGCTGGCCGGCAGAGCCAGTGTGCGGGGAGGTTTTTCTGAGCACCATGAGCCCAGAAGGACATAGGCTTGACCTTGTCTCGGGAAGCGGGTAGAAGTGAGGGGCCTTCTAAATGGATGCACAAGAGGCCACTTGGAATCTCAAAAACATTTTTCCTTTTTGTGGGTGGTCGGAATTTGAGCCTGCATTGTGTGGGCTTGTCCCCTGTGGCTGGAGGCTGGGGTGAGCTGCCAGGAGTCACCCAGGCCCTCGGGCACCCAGCTGCCTCCAGGGTGAGGCCCTGTGACCAGGGGAGAGGCTGGGTCCCAGGTTTGCCCCAGGACACGGCCGAGAGCGGACATAGGAAGTACCCCGGCCAGACACAGAAAGCTGCTGGTTTTTTTTTTTCCTCTGACCCGGAAAACCCCTGCAGCTGGGGTCTGAAGCTTTCAGTGAGCAGAGAGGCGAGAGAGGCACATGATTGTAAGACAAGCAAGGCTGGGACTAGGCGTCATTGTTTGCAATTCAATGACTTTTTAAACTGAGGAAACGTGAGTCATCCTCAAGACAGAATGGGTTTGTTAGATCTCCACGTCACTGGCAGGTGCCAGGCGGTGTTTGCAGGGGTCGCTGGGCTTGCAGGGAAGACTTTTTTTTTCAGACAGTCTCGCTCTGTTGCCCCGGGTAGAGTGCCGTGGCATCATCCTAGCTCACTGCAACCTCAAACTCCTGGGCTCAAGCGACCCTTCTGCCTTGGCCTCCCGAGTAGCTGGGACTACAGGTGCCCACCACCACGCCTGGCTAATTTTTTCTATTTTCAGTAGAGATGGCGGTGGGGGGGGGGGGGGGTCTTGCCTTTGCTCAGGCTGGTCTTGAACTCCTGACCTCAGCTGATCTTCCTGCCTCAGCCTCCCAGAGTGCTAGGATTACAAGCATGAGCCACCGTGCTGGGCCTGGCAGGGAAGATTTTAAGGCAAGGAGAAGGCAGCTTGACTCCTGGGCTCAAGGTCCAGCCTTCTGCCCCACGTCCTGGGAGCCTCTAAGAAAGAAGTCTCTGGAGATGGAAGCTTCTGTGTCTCTTAGGCACAGATCTGGGGCTCCACCCACGGGTGTTGAAGGAAGGAGGCTCCTTTCTGCAGGCCGTGGTGGCAGGGCCGTGTTTCTAGTGCTCTTGGACCTTTAACAGATGGGGCAAGGAGGGCTTAACTGCACGTAGAGAGGCTGGCTTACACCAGACCCCTAGAGGATCCAGGCGAGATACGTGAGTGAAGCGGGTCAGGAGGGGCTCTGCCTCCATCTGTCTGTAGGGAGCCACCCCACTCAGCTCCATCTGTTGCTAGTGGGAATGCAGGTCCCTTGATGCCAAATCTTTTGATATCTTTAGATTTTTTAATATGAAAAAGTTTTATACGAAATCTAATTTTAAAATGTTGGTAATTTTTAAAAAGCGTATGGGGCAAACTGAATGTTTAAGGGCAACCAGTTTGAAGACTGTTAGCAAGACCCAAGTGTGCGGAATATGGGAGCGGAGCCTGGTGGTCAGCCGAGGGCTGCTTCCTGCCAGTCTGGCTCGGCATCCAGCTAGGGGTGTCTGGGTCCTCCCGCAGTCCTGACCCTGGCATTTGCTTGGGGCCTTGAGCTTAGGATGTCGCCAAAAGGGAGACATAGGTTCCTCCCCCTGGACGCAGAGAGGGATGTGAGACCCCCACCCCGGGAGCAGCCGCAGAGCCAAGCCCCGCAGTGGTACTGGGGAGGGCCTGGGCTGGCCCTTGAGCCACACTTGAAATGGCCCCTGTTTCTTTAGCTGGTACAGTGAGCTGGGTCACGGATTGGCCTTCTGCTGTGGGGAATGGGTTTGGCCTCATGGGACTTGGCCCTGGCCCTGACCCCAGCGCTGTAGGCCTTCCCATCATCTCCCCTCCCACTCTCAGCCTTAGGTAAGGGGACTGCTACCTTGCGAGGTCTTTCTGGTGGGAAAGACCCACGTGTCTGCATCCCCACCCTCTGGCTACTAAAGGGGTGTGCCAGTGGGAACCAGGAGGTTCCGGCTCAGTCTCCTCATGTCTTAAGGCTTTTCTCCCCACCCCGCTTCCCACCCTGACCTCCGGCAGTTAATGATCTTCAATGCCGGCGCCACCGTCCTCTACATCACCGCCTTCATCACCTGCTCCGCGGCAGTCGACCCGACGTCCCTGAAGGGCACGCAAGCCTACAACCAGCGTGCGGCCGCCTCGGTGAGTGTGCTTCCTGGCAGTCTGCAGGGGGGGTGGGCCAAACCGGGGTCTTGGCCCCAGAACTCACTCAGCTCCCTTGGTCTGAGGCCAGGCACCTGCCACCTCCTGAGCAGTTATCACCTGAACTCTCAGCGGGTCTCAGAGGGGAGCCAGGCTGCTTTCGGGCTTCCGTAATTCACAGTAGACCTTGAGGAACCAAAATGCTTGGGGAACAGTGTGTGGTGGCCAATGGAAGTTTTAGGTTAGCTATTGAACTCCGTCGTAAATCAGTTATGCCATGCAGATTTAGGGTCACGTCCTCCTTTGGAGAATCTATTAAAAACTAGGAGGCTGGGCGCGGTGGCTCACGCCTGTAATCCTAGCACTCTGGGAGGCCGAGGCGGGTGGATTGCTCAAGGTCAGGAGTTCGAGACCAGCCTGAGCAAGAGCGAGACCCCATCTCTACTAAAAATAGAAATAAATTATTTGGACAACTAAAAATCTATATAGAAAAAATTAGCCGGGCATGGTGGCGCATGCCTGTAGTCCCAGCTACTTGGGAGGCTGAGGCAGGAGGATTGCTTGAGCCCAGGAGTTTGAGGTTGCTGTGAGCTAGGCTGACGCCATGGCACTCTACTCCGGGCAACAGAGTGAGACTCTGTCTCAAAAAAAAAAAAAAAAACTAGGGACCCTCCCCCTTTGGCAAGTGCACATGCGAAAATATTTCGGTTTAAACCATTTGGGGAGATTCACAGGCTCCTCCGTGAAGCCCAACTCTGGACGCGTGTCAAGTGGCCAGTGGTGCCGCAGTCCCCTCCACGCCTGCCACTCCACAAGGCCTTGCACCCGTTTCCTCCAGGACCCTGTGACCCCCAGTGAGGAAGAGGAAGGGACTACCAGTCCCTCTTGACAGACAAGGAAACGTTGGCGCAGAGGGGCTGAGTGACAGGCTCGTCATGGCTAAGTCCAGGGTAGGGCAGGGTCTAGACGAGCAGTTGGGTTTCCTTACTCTTCCTGATGAAGGTGGTTTTGAAATTAGTAAATTCAGGCACGGGAACAGAGGCATGGAGCTTCTGAATATGGTTGTAGGTACGAGTACAGAGGCATGAACTGGTTCCAGAAAATTCCTAGGGTGGCCTTTGAATGTTGTCTTTTTAAAACTGAATCCCTGCGAGGCGTCCCCTCAGTCACTCTTACCGTTGCCCTTCTCACGGTCTGACACAACGTGCCTGTGTGGCTTTTTGTTTCCCATGTTAGAAGGTCACGTTGGCATCTCCAGAAGCTGGTGCTCATTAGCCCCACGACAGGCAGCCGTCAAGCGCACGTGGCTAAGAATGAGGAGTTAACGTCTGGTTCACTGAGGGGCTGTGACTCAGGGTTTCACAGGCTGGGCCTGGTGCTTTCGTTACTGTCACCCTCTTGCTCCCAGGACCCAGTACTCAGACTGACAGCCGTGCCCTTCTCTCCTCTTTCAGTTCTTTGCGTGTCTAGTGATGATTGCCTACGCCGTGAGCACCTTCTTCAGTTTCCAGGCCTGGCGAGGGGTACGCAGCAACGCGGCCACCAGTCAGATGGCTGGCGGCTATGCCTAAACCACCTGTGCCCTGGCCCACCCTGAGGCTGAAGCTGTCGCTGGGTCACAGTGCAGGGTCACCCCGCAAGCCCAAGGCTGGGGAGCCCTGTGTGGAGTCAGCCTGGCAGGGACTATGCTTTCTCCCCTCTGCTCCTCAGACTCAAGCTCTCGCAGCGCTCCTAAGGAAACAGGCCCAAGTTGGCACATGTATGGGCTGGCAGGAGGCCAACGCCCGAGACCTCGTCCCCATCCCCCTTACTCAGTGGAAGCTGACGGGGGATACGGGGGCCACTGTCTCTGCCTTGTCTTTAGAGGACTTCAGCGTCCGAGGCTGGGGCCCACCCTTCTCAGCAGCACTAAATGCACTAACGGAGACTGCAGCCCTGCAGCCTGACCTGCCATAGCGTAAGCCTAACAAGCAACACGTATCGTCTTAGCCTTTGTTCCAGAAGAGCTCTGCAAACTACGAAACCACTCCAATTCCTTAAAACGCAACTCCAACCCGAACCTGCCCGAGCCATGTCACTTGTAGGAAGAGGGTTACGATTTTGGACAGCACGGTCTTCCTTCCCTGCATGGCAGACATAGCGGTTACTTAAAGCGAATCAGGTGTAAGTGACTTCTCAGTGATGAAAGACCCATCCAGGTTTCCTGCCTTTCCTAAGCCCGTCTTTATAATACTCCCTTTGGGACAAGCTAACATCCACGCCGACTGCTGCCCTGCCACTGTTGGTTAGGCTCATGGGACATGGAGGAGGGAGGGAATCAAGACCTTGCCGGGTAAGTTGTCATGTGTTGGTAGTGACTTTGTTGTTTCTTTTTCTTTTCTTCCTTTTTTTACAAAAATAAAGATGGAAGAACTTATTTGGGAAAGTTGTTGGGGAATCGGTCGTAGGGGATCGTGAACTTCAGGGAGCTGCAGGTGGACTGAATAAAGGTTCCGAATGTCTACTACGGGGCAGTTCGGGTTCCGGAGTCGCTCATTACCACAGGCTAATCACGGGCCACCCGCACTTCCTGCCTGCTGTGTCTGGAACAGTCCTGCTCTGTGCCATTAGTCCTGGCGTAAACGCAGTGGCGCTGCTGTTTATTCTCAAGTGTTCCAGTCTAACAAGAACTAACTTAGTCACCCCTGCTTTGGGCACAAGATTTCAATCATGTCCCAAGTTTGTGAAGCTCAGAGGTCAGGTAATCAAGGTGGCTGGCCACGCTCGATGCCCAGAGCCGGCAGTGCCAGCAGACAGGAAAGCATCTGAGCTGGCTGTGCTCGTTCTTCTGCCACCACGGACCCATGTTCTCTGAACACTAAGCCACAGGTGTTTGTTTCTAGGTACCCTCTGTCCTTTTTAAAAAAGTGGGAACAATTAAGATGCAACGAGGTACAGTGGCAGACGGCTGCTTTTACTAAGCAAGGGGGGACAGCAGCCTCGGGTGTAACAGCGTCCCCTTTTACTCTCAAGTGTCTCAGACTTTGAATAATAAGTTATAGTCATTCCAGGATTAAGATATAGAAGAGTTTAGTTTTAAGGAAGAGCAACCTATGTTAGGGGCACAAAAGACAAAAATCCTAGCAGGTTAGAGAGCTCACCCCACAGGTGAGCCGAGGCCCTAAAACACAGCTGACTTCGGGGGGACATTAACATGCCCAGTCAGTCCTTAGACTGCAGTTTGGGGCACTGTTGCTTCCCGTGGGGCTGGGGCAGAATGTCAGGCTTTCTCAGCCCAGGCCAGGCAGGAGCCCATCGAAGGTGGCACATGGCGTCTCAGTCCAAGCGTCTGTGTGGTCAGAGACACAGATTGCTAGGTTATTTTAAAAGAAATCAGAAAGCCTACTTACAATATTAAGCTTGCTTTTTTTTTTTGAGTAGAAATTTGCCTTTCTTCTTGCTATGTTTTCATCACTTAACCTCTGGACTTGTCCACTTGCCCCTTCTCAACCAGGCAGGCTGCTCAACAGGTCTTAACCAAGTGCCCCCAACATGCCTGGCCTGTGGTGGACAGTCCCACTTGTGAGAAGAGCAGGAAGAGAAAGCAAGCCCGGGAGAGGTGGCATTTTAAAAAGCTGGCTCTGAGAATGGTTTTGAAGGACCAAAGCAGGCTGGTCTGCGTGCAGTGGTGTTTACAACAGCCAGCTGCAGATTTGTTTCTTTTCCACTCCCACTGCTTCACCTGACTAGCCTTTAAAAAAAAAAGGTCGAGGGGGCAAAGCAATAATACCCTGATGGCGGTGGCTATATTGCAGAAAGGGAATGACTCATCTAGAATGATGGTTCTTGCCAAACACCTCAAATTTTACTCATGGTACAAAAGTATTTAATAAGCAATACATCAGTACAGAAAAACACATAGTTCATAGCTCATCCTTTAAAACCAGAATACCCAGGGTAAAGTCAGTACAGATTTTTACTTTAAAAAAAAAATCACAAGGCAGAAATACTCTCTAGGGATTAGGGGGATGGGGGGGGCAAATCTACAACTAAAGAACACGGGGAGCACTAAAGGGAGGGAAGGGCATGCCTTTAACCCGCATCTGGGTGAGGCAAAGACATAAAGTGTAACTATAATGTTTGTACCCCCACAAAACCCTGGAATAAAAAAAAAAAAAAAATCAAGGGTACACATTGGAATTGAACTACTATGTTTTTTCTTCTTTCTAGAGATGTGATATACATGTTTTCTGATCCGTAATATTCTACCAAACATTGTATTAAACCAAAGCAGACAGATGAGCAGCAAAGCTGTTTACTACCTCCTACTCATGCTGAGCTAGACGCTGGAACACCATCTATCTCGGTAGGAGAGATTCTGACAGGAAGAAGAAATTAGGAGTCCCTACCTACCCCAATAGAAAACCTAACAAACTGGTTTATACAGAAAGGATTTTCAGCAAACGTGCACAAACACATTTAACATGCTATTAAGAACAGGATAGCTTTTAGTCAATTTCCAGCACACAGCATACATTCATCAGCGCCCAGTAAAATAAGAATGAATGCCAAAATAGAAAGCATTTTTGCCTTCATAGCACGAACAGCTAAGCACACAGCATATAATACTTTGATCTTTAAGTGGGTAATCATGGAAGTTCCAAGATCATGTCCACTAGGTTAGCCTGAGTATTTCATCTATAAAAATATTTTTTCAAAAATAATGCTTAAGAGACTTCTAGAACAGTGGGATTACATCAGGACCAGCAGAAGACACAGTGATACAAGGACTGCAAATGTTGAGACTAGGGAGTTGATGTTAGGTAAAGGACATCTCTTTCAGTTGATTGCTACAGCCAGGACAAGCTGTGATCAGGAGATTCGGAAATCTCAAGACGGGCAGCTGGCTTGAATAACACGCTAGATAAATACTCAAAACCCCAATGAGGCTGAAGGACTGAAATTCTGACCCATGTGAAAAAGAGCTGTGAGTGCACAAAAAAACTTCATGCAAAGTCTACTGGGGACAAACAGGGCTCGTAATGCTGGGTTATTCCACACTACTGACACACCGACATGTTTGCTGGGGCAGGGGCCCCCAAGTGGAATGCCTGACCATGGGCTTGTTCCAGAGGAGTCTCACTCAGAAGCACCTGAGCGAGGGATCTCACTGGGGAGGGCTTAATGAATACAAGAAGTTGTTCCAGGATAACCAGGTCCAGGAGGGTTAGGTCCTTTTGTTTTTGACCCATCAATACTTAACAGGAATGCAGGACAGAGTCAGTCTTTCTAAGTAAGATGTATTCTTCTGTCATTAGCTGAGCCTTTTGGCCTCTTGGGCCAGTGACATCCAGAATGATCCCATTCACTGGCTGCAGGTAGGGTCTAGTGCCGTAGATTGTTCTGGGAAGTTGGCATAGAAGATGATTTGCACAATGAAGTCACCACTAAACCACTGCTTAAGTCCAGTCCCCGGCCTTCTTTTTCCTACACAAGAAAACAAACAACCTCAAGAGGCAAGGAATAGGAAGAGTCCTGGTTCAGGACCCTGCCTCTGGCATGGGGAAGGCAGAGCTCAGGGTGGGAGTGTGGACCATCAGGGGGAGTACACAGAAAGGGAAAGGAGGTTATTTTGCATTTCTGCTCAACACTGGCCCTGGTCATTCTTAAAATGCAATCTTAAAAATGTGCCTCTCTTTACTGGGAAAAAATTTTTTTTTGAGATGGGGTCTTGCCATGTTGCCCAGGCTGGAATGCACTGGCTATTCACAGGTGTGATCATAGTGCAGTACCTCCTGAGAGCAGCTGGGACTAGAGGCACACACCACCATACCCAGCACCATTTATTTTTCTTATAAAGAGCCTGCATTATAAGAAAGGCAAGGCAGAATGAGATCTGCTTTTTGTTTTTTGTCCTTGTGATTATTTAGGAACCCTACAATCAAACTGGGGGTCTGTTTCACCAAAACATGAAAAGGTCCCAGCCAAGGCAGAACAGCAGCTCACTCTTCTGATACCTCACCAGCTACTAGACTGACACTGGTCAGTTTTAAGGGAGAATGATGGCAAGCGCATGGGAAGTGGTTTGTGTTCAATAGTTCTACTCGGAACTTTCTAAGTGGTTCAATGTAGCTAAATAAACAGGCGGTAGTAACTTACTGCTCTGTAGTCCAGAAACATTTCTTTAAAAGCCAGAAAATCTGTAAATGTGAGCAGCATGTCAAATATGTCACCAGCCACTTCATCCTTATGGTGCCTGCAAAAGGAAAGGATGGCTATTTCATGAATGAATGATGCAACAGTCTCTTCAAGATTTCATTCAAAGGTTTTGAGAGCTTCCCACCCAGGACCTAACCACCAAGTGCTCGCACTGAGGGGTGGGGGGGAGGGTGGGGAGGGCCTTTTGTTCACACTAGGGAAGATGGTGAGAAAATGTTAAAAAAAAAAATACAGTCTAGCTCTACTCACTGTAACGTTGTTGTGAAAGCCGCCATGTTAAATCCAGGAATCCGCTCTAGCAGCTGTTCTTCAATATATTTTTCTACCAGAGAAATCTACAACAGTGGAGAGAATCTTGGTGAGACCACACTTTGGGAAAACAAGACTGCTTTTCAGACAGCCTGTCCTCCAGCCCCTCATAAACATTTCCTGAGGTCCTGGTCTATGTCCCAGGCTCTATGCTGAGTGGTGGGGACACCAAAGAGGACCAAAACACAGCTCCTGTGCTGGATAAGCACTCAGCCTGGCATGGCAGAAAGGCATTTGCTGGTAATTACGCTGCAGCAGGATGGATGTTG